GGAACCCAGAAACGGGTAATTTTAGAACCACTTAATGTGATGATTGGGCTATATAAAGCCGGCGGTATGTTGGAACATTTACAACCTAAGGAATGTGTAGAAAGATCAAATTCAGAGGTGGTAGGCGGGATAGTTTGGATGGGAGTTCGTACTATTCTCTATCATGTAACCATAAAGGCAATATATCTAGGTACTCGGCCGACTAAACGCCTGATATCGTCACCGACAGTTTTATATTATTGTGTTGCTGATGGATACATAGGGTTCACATAGTTGCTAGTTAGCATGGAAACTAAGGTTTGGGTACCGAGGAAAGGAGAGATGTGCGAATAACAAGTGAGTCGGATTCAAGAGAAGAAATGACCGAATGGGACAACAAATGACGAAATTCGTTTCACTCCTGAGAATGGAAGAACGTGACTATCCATTTGAATCTGTTAAAGTTGGCCTGTGTGGAATACTTTCTGTTAAGAGGCAATTAGGAACATGTTCACTCACATCGAAATAATGTAGAACCCCGGCCAAATGATCGCTCAAGCCGTGTGTACTCTGTCTTAAGAATTACTCTCAGAAAGAAAACTTCCCACACCCCTAAGTACCAACCCATCACATAAAAACGACCTCCATGTATAACAACAGTCGTAACTCTTTCCAGTCATGCGCAGCAGGCCCTCCTCACGCTAACATAAATAGCTATAACAGAGACTACCGTCTTAACCACCAAAACTGTTTTGCAAATAACCGTACATCTCACAGTAGGCCTGTACAAGATTTTTTGGAATACGACCCCTAGTGACATCTCTTTTGAAGCATATAACCCAAGTCATTTTAAACCACATGAAGAACATAATCTTGTTCACCCCGTACAGTTTCCATCAGAGGGTACTCCCTCTTAGGTAAACTCCCCAATCAACTTCACTAAGTCTAGCGTTCAAAATACCGAGCTATTGAAGAACATTAAATTAATCACTTTAAACCCATCTCACACCCACGTGGGTTACAACAACTTTATTCTAGATACTCTCACCCATTTTAACTTTAATATATGTCTTATCAACGCTAGGTCAATCTGCAATAAAAAGACGAATCTAGCCCTGTTTGTATCCATATATCGACCATCACTTATAATGACATCTGAGGCATGGACCTACGTTCTCCAACGATCCCTATATACCGGTCAGTACAAGAAGCTGTCTCCAAAGACATTGTACTTGATCCCACAACTTTAATAACTTTTCCTCTTTAGTAACGATGACAGAAATATTTGTCCAAAAATAGGCAATAAGTACACAAAAGCAGTCTCACAGGAAAATGTGCAGTTGAACTTAATAATAACTCTTCTGTACTCACCATACTCCTTCAAAATAAACTTAAACGTTCTAAATCGAGAGGGAGCATATTTATTGAAGAGAAACAAGTATAGGAAGACCCTAAACTTGTTACGAAACTATTTAGTGAACACTGTTGTTTCTCCCTAACAAAAAACCACTAAATGATTCAGAACCAATCCCAGTAACTCCCTGTGAAATTACTAATGTAGAATTCAATGTGCAAAATATTTCGAAGGCAATTAGTACATTAAAACACTCCTACACTGAAGAACCAGATGGTATTCCAGTTAGCATACTAAAACGTGGTAGTGATGACATTTTTGTTTTGCTTCTCAAACTATTTGTGATATCACTCTCTACAGTGTCTTACCCTACTACCTGAAAAACTACACATATTCCCAAAATTAAAACAGGACCTGAAGCAAATGTCGACAATCGCCCTACCATAAAGATAACTTCAGTGGTATCAGTAGTGATGGTGAAAGTAGTTAAGGCGGTTGTAGTTCAACATCTACTTACTAATAATATCATCTCGACCTCCCAGGGTGGGCTTCTTAGGTTCAGATCATGCGATACATCCCTAGTAGACTACCTGAATGATATAACTATGAAACGAGACAACGGACTCATTTTATCAGTCCTATTCTTAGACTTTAACAATGTCTTTGATAAAGTTCTTTATAAAAGGCTATTCGTCAAACTAAAGTCCTTCGGAATAAACAACCCACTATGCTCATGGTTCGCTTCGTTCTTAACAGAACGTAAACAGATGGTAAAGTACAATGACTGTCTCTCATCACCTAGGCCAATAACTATTGGAGCCATCCAGGGAAGTGTATTAGGTCCACTCTTGTTTCTTATGTATATAAACGATATATGTAACATAATAAAATTTGCCAAACCATACCTATATGCTGACGATTTCAAAATAGTATATAGCTATAAGCCTGGGACTCTAAGTGAAAGTATATCCCTTATCCAAAATGACCCCAGTAACTTAGCTATCTGCAGGTTTACTGCTAAAGGTTGAACACTCGATATAAAATGGTAGAGGTTTTACTGACTGTTGATCTGACTCCAACTAAATCAAATAATATCAATTAAAAATACGTTCCGACAAACTTCGCATACAATTAACTACCTAATTCGCGTTTGAGAACAATAAAACAGAGTAATCTAGTTATGAGAAATAACTTTGGATACGTATATTTAAAGCACTCGTTGCTCAGGACATATAATAAGGGATACAACGAGAAGAAGCAGATAAGAGAAAGCAAACACACCAAATAGCGATAATACACATTAAAAGAACTAACGTGGCTAAAAATACATAGTGCGTAGTGTGGTAAAGAGACACGTTTATGATAGAAATAATGAGTGATAGACATATACACAAGTACACATAAAGTGCATAACTGTAAAAATACAAGAACATGTAAATAAGGCGTATATGTATGAAGGCCACAGTTTCTCGTGAAGACAACGCATTTTTATGAAACTAAAAGTGACTCAGTAGTTGCATGCTGTCCAAGGTCTATTAAAAAGCTAGGTCAGAGTGTGAAAGTGTTTATTAGTACTAGAGAATGGATGGTCATTATGAGCCGACGCGATAACCTTACCGAAACTGGACGACTCAGCCATTCAGGAATGGCCGTCACACAAATCTCTCTCGCCTTCATATCATATACAGTATTCTGCTTTTAAGCTTTTTTCGTTCTAAGAATACTATAAAGTGGAAAACAACAGCCTCCACGATAAGCTAGGTCATGGTATACAGTGGTATGATTTGAATATAAGATCCTATAGATTATGCAGTAATATTATGGCGAGTCAAATGTATTGGACTAGGAAGGTTGGTTCAGCAACACAAAAAAACATTTGTTAGCTGGTGAAGTTCTCACTACGGACAGCTTCAGTAGTTGGTTTTCCCTTTCGCCTATCTGTAGGTTGGAACTGTGCATGATGATATGATGCAGAACTTATCGATTGATGCGTTCATATTGGTCGTATTGGCACTCCCAAAGTGACGTTTAGCGATGAGGGATCGAACTTCGCTGGCAGTCAGGTGTCATTGAGACATATTGAGTTACTGAGTCGATACTTGGAGTAGAACCTCAGTCCTCCACAAGCTAGTGAGAACATTGGATGCAAACACTAAGGGCAGGTTGCCCATTTCAAATCTCAGGACGTGTTTGGCAGAGAGTTTGGACGAGTAATGACCGAAGAATCGAGAATTATGTGACCATTTTTCAATGACCTAGTGTTCGAAAGTGACAGAGTAGAACACTTTGGGTGACCTGATGCTTTATAGGGTACAACAAAGAATTAACTAACAAACTGCTGCATATATGTCTATTAATGCATATTGTTTCTTAGCTTTCTGTATAATATCACCTTGTGTTTCCGAGAAACGTTAACAATGTCGAGCCCGACATATTTGTCAACCCTCAGTGATAATTAAACAACACTGGTTGGCTAAGTCAATCAAGTTTGGTCACCGAAATTCTAACATCTTTGTCACCATACTTGATATATCATTCTCTTGGTAAGATTATACATGTTATTTGAAGGCTATCACGAAGAGGTATCTCGAACTTCCATGTCAAGGCAAGTCAAGATAAACGATGGGGTGACATTGACATCAGATCATACATATTAGACAGTTACTTCGCGAGTCAGCAACAGTGTGGTAGGTATGTTAATCTAGTAGCATAATTAAGTCGGCTAACACATATAATGTACTTAGATCACAGAAGCCAAGATCAATAGGTCGGTTTCGTCACGAATATATTTATTCAGTTATTGTCATCATTGTTAGGTGTTGTCTCGGTCTTCATTAGTTCTTGTTGTCGGTGGTTAGTAGTTTTTGACCCCCGTAGATAAGCTACCATGGTGTCAGTACGTCTACCGAGGTGATTTGTGTCGTATACTCAAATGCTTACTGGAGATTAATATCAACGTGAGATAATTCGTGGCTGTTGTGTGATGTAACATCGATGGAAGAGTCAAATATAGGGTATTTCACTAAATGCTATGTTGAATTCAGGAACTTTTCTCAAAAAGTCGTGTCACGGCATGTGTGTATCGGTGGGAAATAATAAGTTGTTATCTACCAGGTGATGACATATAGGAAAGTAGTAAGAGGTAGTGATGTCGAGTAGCACTCTTAAGAAAGGGCCTGATATTGGCTCTGCCTGTTGAAGACGAGTAGTGAGTGGGGTGAACGGCTTCTAGTTCGATAAACCAATAGCCAGTGTATTGCTACTCATGGTACTTAGACGCAGGAGGTATGAGCATAACACGAATAAACTAAGAAACAGGAGGGTTATAGTTCAGCCAGTCTGTAGGTCGCTACAGTAAATGAGGTATAGCTGGATAAGCATGAAATGTTAACAATCAGGCCACCAGAATGTGTGTGCATCGTGAGCTAGCTTTAACATGTTGACTGTCATGTTCCACAGACCCTATTCTAATAATCACTATCAGTCTATATTCTCTGGGTAAACCACGTGTTCATGGGATGTAGACGTATATACATGTTTACATATATTTACAGAAGAGATATTTAACGATTATGCTAACAGATTAGCATGACAATGCAACATTGTGAGATCTTTTCCCATTAGTAAAGGTAGATTTGACCTTCAGAGTCAGACAACCTTGCTTTCCGTTTTGTTTAAAACTGGCGTGCTGTTGTCTAAGGACTTACTTTGAATTACTTGTAATGAGTTGTGTAGCGTTGTGATTAATGCTAATTTTACCAGGTATGTACTTTACATACCCTGTTTACTGTAACGGTTCCTAACCATCTACATATAATCCGATTAGCGCATTTAAGTAGTGTTTCGAGATAATTTAACTTGGTAACTAATTATATTGTGTACAGGCTAAATTTAGCTTGTATGTTCATACAGTATCCACTTTCATTCTTGATATCACTTTCTAAGAGTTGCATCTTGTTCTAGATCTGAGGCGTAATATAAAGTGAAAGTCATACGAAAGCTCACTAGCTAGCTTAACGCCTGATAGAAACTGGCAATGGTTTTAATAGTGAGTGATGTTCATGTTTATTGACCATACGTCATGAATGCTAAGTCACAAACCGTCTTAGTGTACAACTCTGTCTAAAGTGGAGTTTTACTGGAAAACCTTTGTGAATAAAGTGTCTGGATTCGGGTCTCACTTTTTATGGGAGGTGCACAAAACTCAGGCTCTTGTAGAAACATATTGATATATCTTCATTTAAGACTTAAGAATCCGATTCACTCTCCATCTGTTTTCCATCATAGATGTGTTCACATGAATCTTCCTCTACTGTATTGTATTGAAATATTTACTAATTCCTCAGGACGAAAGCTTCGTAATATTAACTAACAAGGTTCTTGACATTAATTTATAGTAAAAAATCACTTCATTTCTTCTGAGTGTTAATATTTTCATAACAATCTTGCTAAACAGTTACCTACCTTGTAATGTGTTTCGTATTTTATCCTAAGCAAACATCAGAAAACATATCGTAAATACATGTACCATTGGTGTCACGAAATGTAGACTAATAGGTTGTGCTCTAGACGATAATCGTAACCAGTCTAAAGGTTTTAATCAAGATGAACTGTAGTCTCAGTGGCGTAGCTGTATTCATTCCTCAGCCTTCGACCTCAATTTTTAACACTATTTTTGATTAGATTCTCCTTTGTCATTTTTCAAACTACATTCGTTTTGTTAATTTTTTCTTGCTCCTCTTGGTATCATTACAATTTCGACTCCTTTGATATTTCACCTCTGTAGAACGTACTATAACTTAAGGTGATGTCCATTTGTTTCAAGTTATATGTTGATTATAGCTAACTTATTCCAAAATACTTACCCAAGTATTGTCAAACATGAATTCCCGGCCACTTTTTGTATTCTCTGTATATATTTACTCGGGCCGATGCCCATGCGTCAGTTCTGTGCTGCTTAAGACTGATTATCTGTACATAATTGCACAATATGATGTTAGCATATTCAAAGTATCAAGCCTAGAGTTAAGTGTGTACAGATCTGATTAATTTGTATAACCTTAGTCTAACGTCAGAAAGATTCAGAATAATTAGTATTCCATATATTTTCTATCTAAATGATCAATTATATTGACTTGGTGAGAGTGTCTTCTAAGGTTTCCCTATCTTAACAGGCATCAAAATATCCTTGAAGTTATATTGCTCATTGCCGGGCAAAAGCACGCAAACATTAAATTAAAAATGATTTACTGAAAAATGTTCACGAATTAAATTATTCTCGACAATGAATAATATCCAGTGATCCATTCCGTCTTCTATACCTACATTATGCCTGATATTGAAAGCTAATCATATTCTGCTAGATTAAATTGGTTAAAATACTCGACGTCTTCGCTTTCATAATTAGCCACTAAAACGTAATTATGCCACGATAACGGTAAATTCATATACAATGATAAGCGGTTGATTAACACAAGCCGATAGTTATCATTTTCAACCTAGGTCAAGTCCTCATTTAGGCAACTGTTATAATCGTCTAGAGCTCTTAGTACAATATTTAGACAGTATAACTGAACACTTACCACGAACTGAGATTAAATCGTTGTACAATCCTCAGCTAGCAGATATCCTGAAAAATACCCAGTTTTTAAAAGTGTTACGAGTCACCAGACTAGTTTCTTGGTCTTTTAATCAGTTCATGCAACATTATAGTTGAAATTCGACTGAGTTGGTTAGGTATTTTATTTTATTTATTCAAACGCAAATATTGGTACAAAATGGCACCGAATACATATACACCACACAAGTCACTTAGAAAGATATAGAGGTTAGTGTTCTATAATTTTGACAAAACGATTGATGCGCTGTCTTTAAGGAAAACCGTATTGACGTTTGTGACAACCACTAGAGTTCGAATTTCCCGTTAATTGCGTTTAGAATACTGGATTTCATAGTACTACCCATAATGTCAAGAATCCAAAATGACTGGATCCTAACAAGAAAATCGTTCCTCGTCCAAGTTATAAGTGTAATAACACATTCATTAGCAAAACCTTGAACACTTACACGCATTTCACCTCGTTGGATATGACTATACTCTGGGATCGTCTTTTGAAAAAGCGTTCCTAAGAAGTCCTTCAGTATCCTTCAACATGCCTACACGAAAACTTCATAGAATAAGAATATCAAGTCTCCCATTAACCCCAAATGCCCTGGTACGGCCGAGAGTGGGGAAAGTCGGTCCTCCCTCTCAAAATGTTCTCAAGTGGCCACGTGTATACAACCACTGCTAGGGTAGTCCTACTCAATGCCTTCTCGTGGCGGGAGTGTTATTTACAAAATTGAAAGGACGAAAAGCAAATGTCCGGCACCTTAACCGGGTTGATAGACACGGAGAGTCCACCTAGGGGAGTTGGAAAACCCTGATTACAGACTAATGGTGTACATGGGCTCAAGGATCCTAAGGAAACAAATAGCGTATGAACCAATTGTTGGTCAACACCTACCATGGGACTGCATCCCCTTACATTGCTTCACTGCCTTGTGGATTAGACATTTAGTTCGAAGGCTCGGAGTGTGGCCCCCTAACAAAACCACCTGCTTCAGTTTGGTCACCCGGGCAGTATCCCAGACCTCACACAAATTGAATGATTTATGTGGTGCATATCTATTCGGTGCCTTCTTGTATCAATGTTTGTGTTTAAATAAAGTATCCCAAGATTAATAGTCATTGATTATCAATGTAACGTTTACCAAGCACATATTTGTGTGCTCAAAATCATCCTGATAGTATGAAGGCTAGCAACACTTTTTGACTGCTGAATCCAAGTCGACGTTCTAGTGTTCGGACTTGCAACTTTATGGTCTAGAGTTGAGTGCTTTAATAACTAATCCCGCTCTCAACTATCAGTAGGCTTCGGTTAACCTCTCCACTTCCCTTCAGTTTTATCATCAATGAAATTATATAAACAACTGTAAAGCAAGTGCTTATTGGTGTAGATTTATTACCTAGTTTTTCAACTTTAAATAAGCGGATGGCAATGTTACTGTGGGTTAATAGATTAGCCACCCCTAAGGGCACTTAATTAGCGATCCCCCTCCCCAAGTAAGTTCTTTATACACTTTACACCTTCGAAATCTGAATTATTTCTTGTAGGGTCCGATCTTACTCATAAATTGATAAGCTGTTCAAAGTGATCAGAAGGCTCGTCTGTGCTTTTGAATAAAAGTCAGCAATTATTGCGTTGGTTTTTATTTTATTCCTTACGATTTTCTCTCTGATCTAATAGGACGAAACATTTGGTTCGTGTTTATATTTCGTCAGTTATTAAATACATGGCGCACTATTCCCGGCAGCCTATTTTCTGTTGGTTTGGATTATATCATATTTACACACCGTCATAGTACATACAACACCCATCCACCAATATGGGCTAACCGCAACATCGATTGTACGTGTAGAAAACTTAGCACTTATCTTAGATATACTGAACTGAATATCTGCAAGCTTGCTTCAGGATCGGTCTGGGTCATTAATTAGTCAATGGTTTAGTATGTTGATCATTTCAGCTATCTTGAAAGCTTTATCAACCGTGTTTCGGCTTTTGAAAAAAATCCCCACAGATTCAAAAAGCCCACCTGGCTTCTGCTAACTCGCGTGGTTAAGGCCTGTGCAATAACCACAATCAGTAGTTCGAGATGTTGAATGACATGACTCAAAATGAGTTAGTGTCCCAAACGTATTCAATTTTTTTATTCCTGTATATCTTCAACTCAAATGTTCCTTCACTGATATCTTTTAACTCGGTCTTCTCGAACCATATTCTCAATCATCAGTGTTTATCAGTATCATTCCTATTATAATTATGTCGACTCTTTTGCCATTCGTTTTGTTAATTTAATCTCTTCGTCCTTTTGTGTTATGGCAACTTAGGCCAATAGACATCTGTCCCAAGCTCTTTGCTGAGTATGACTGATTGGCTCCAAGCTTATCTGAGCCTGCAGTTGAATAAATGTAAATTACCTGAAATTTGGTACTGAATCAATACGAAAAGTATTGTCATTCTGTAACTTCTTCGTGAACATATGTCATATTTAGGTTACATCACTACTAGTCTCTTCAGATGATTTCGCTAGCTAGTATTTCCTGCGCGATTTTCAGGCATTACATCATTTTTTACAATGACCTTAGATGCTATGGATTCACAACCTCACCATTCGATTTCGCACGTTTATCTAGTACTCCGTCCGTAATCCCAGAATTTTTCACTCAGTTATTCCACTTTAAGCGGTTAGCGCTATGTGGACATTTACACTCAAGCATTATCAAACTACTCATGTCTTCGACCTCCATATGAGAGTCTTCAAGTAGGAGGTCAGTTCTAGGTCCTGAACTATGATAACTTAAGCCGGTATACTTCTGTGCAAGCTCTGAGTTGATGATTGACCAACTACCAATCCTTTAATCCAAATTTACTTGATAATTCTAAACAACTTTCTAATGTTGCTTGTCGCCTCTGTTTCCCACCCCTTGTTTTTATTACCCTTCACTAACGTTTGTTGCGTCGAATTTTTATAAAGTTCATGATTCTTATATTTTTGTGGACCCTGCTGCCATTAATTCTGCCAAGGTTGCGAAAGTTCAAGCCTTTCTTTTAAGTCTCCAGTAAACGTAACCTCTGACATAGCAACAGACTAAAAACTATATCTAGCTATCCTTAGGTAGTTCTTTAAATAAAACCTTAACGTTTCCATCCTTAAGTTTAACCGGAGGTGTTCCTGGTGCAACTTTTTGGTGTCAAGTAATACAGGTAACACACTAGACATTTGATCCGGAAGATCGACAATATTCCTTGGTTAATCTTCGGCAGCGATTTACCTATATGATCATTTTGCGTCCACTATATGTTGACTGTCAATCGCCATTTACAAATGTATCCGATTGTTTAGAGTTGGTATTTTTTGGAAGGAAGTGGTTGTCAGAACAAAGTTACCGCCACCAGACTTGAATATCAAAAGTCCTGCCTAGGTTTCTCTTTTTAATTTGCTACAATTGTTGCTTCTGAACTTCTCGACATCCAAAAGATGTTACACTATTTTCGACGAGGTATATCTTATGCTCTACCTAAGCTACAAACAGTGAGTGCTTAGACAAATTAAAAACAGAAGGCATCATGTACCTACATATTTCCCAGTACATCTTCATCCAATCAGATAACAAACAGGTGACCTCTAAGCGTAATACAATCTCTCCTGGTTCCGAAATTTACGCTACATATGCACTTACTAAACTATGGAAAGTTATTGGGTTTTCTAGTTAATTAAAAAACTAATCGTGCTAGATTTTCGCACTAGTTTGATATGATCAAGTGAATAACGACTTTTTCTGGGTAGAGATTTTAGAGACGGCATAGATTTCTGTATGAAGTTCTATTATTTTAGTAATTAAAACTTATTGTTGTGTAATTCTAAACAAGGTTACAGCTAGTTGGGAATACCATTCCATAAAGCACAAATAATTACAACTAAATGCCCTTAAGAAAAAAGTCTAGTAGGGAAGGATCATGTCATGTTTTGAGGCCCTGACATCATTGCTATCAGTTTTAACTGAGGCTTGAGAAACTTATCGTTTGCTCACTATGCCCTCTAGAGTGTGATTTGTGTATGCGGAGAATACTCATAAACTCAGTACTTGAGTTAGAAATATTAGTTAACCAGAAGTACCGCACCATATCACCCCCACATACACGATGTTTTTATCCGCCTAAAGGTGCTTGCATCTCTATTTTATCCTCCACGATGTCGCCATACGCTAATCTCTCAGTTGTTCTGCACTATCGTTTACTGATATCATGTTTACACCACAATGGTAGTATTTGCTGTATTTCACTCTTGTATTTCAGGTTTTTGCTATTGTGAATACGCCTACCAGCCATATCTGGGATTAGATGATTCGTCTTGGTTTTCCCTATCCGATTATCCTGGGCGTTATTTTGTTCGTTAATGCTTACAGAATCCCATAGAAGGTGAGTTAAATGAATTATTAATTGTTGATTTTTGTGAAATCCCATCCAGAATCATTGATTTATATGATATTTTATTCAATAACCCTTACATGTTCGTGCAAATGAAACCAGTATCCCTCTAGCACCTGTATCCAACACCAAAACGTTCTAAGTAATCCATTTCTAATTGTCACGTATTTCCTGCATCCCTACTTTCAATTCATATTGGAAATATGTTAAAAGTGGTCTGGTTTCTATATCACTCGTGTTCAGTATTTTGTACTACTTTGCGAAACTTGAGTTTCAACCACTTTGGCGACCAGTTTGTGATTGATCAGGAGTTCACTCGGTTTTAAATTAATCAAAAATGTCCTAAACTTTAATCACAATCGTTTTTACCTATATATACAGTAAGTTACTTAAAGTGATGAAAATAACCGTCAAACGACTTACAGTAAAACCCTGACCACTACCTTCACCGAATTCTGATATGTGTAAAATACTTCTATCACCCACTCTCTCGCTAACTTCCAATTTTTTCAAACCCATACACCATTCTATGATATTTCCTACCTATAATATCTCACTATTTAATAGTGAAATTATATTTATTACCCATAGCTAGTCCGTTTTAGTCACTTATTTCTAAATCTGGACGATATGAACACTTGATAATGTGTAGACGTTTGTAGTAAATAAAATACACAACATTTGCTTTACCGTTCATTTAGTATGGTGCTAATCTATACTCTTCTTATACCACTGAGCGTAGAAGTCACGAGAAGTTTCTCTTTATTTTTGAACTTCTGGTGTGTTCATTTATTCAGTGCCATGTAGCTTATGTATGAGTTATCTTTTGCCTTTTGGTTAAGTTAAACTACAAGAAGGTTTTTGAATATGTTCGTCCTACGCAGATGCTTTTGTGGAAAGTTAGATAACCCATTTCTGAATATCATTGTTTCTAATTCGTCCTGATTTACACGTCACAACTCATAATATTTTGTTATCTTGTCACTGTTTATTAGTTTGTCGATATTTGTTTGAAACACTAATATATTTTCAATGCTGTTTTATTTGGTGGTAAATTTCTGATTGTAGATCTCTGAACACCGCACTTGTTTTAAGGATTTTTATGCTCACACTTTTCTTCTACCTTATACAACTTATTGTATATCTTCTAGTTTCAGGCATTTTTATCACACCAACTAAACTTTATCTCACCATATTCCTTCAGTAGTTCAGATTAATAATGAATTTTGTACTGATCCCATTAACATCTATAAATAGTCTTAAAAGTATCTATGTTCATACTTTATTTTTTACTCTAAAACGCAATTTATAAGCAATTTCATTTTTCATGTTCTCTCTTCTCATAATCCTATTCAGTTTCGTGTGACAGCGTGCATGTCTCTTAATCCTGATCAGTTGGATCTTGTACCTGATGATCTGCTTAATGATCAAGTCCAAGTAGAAACGGTTCATCAAGTTTCATACAATAATAATAATAATAATCGAAGTAACCTGGATGCATTAGGAATGGCCGCTGGAGTGTCACCTTACGGAACAAATAACCCATCTGCAATGTCTGCAGCAGCAGCAGCAGCTCTTTTAATACAAGCTGCAGCTGTAAATGAATCACCATCTAATAATGTAACTTTTTCCGGACGACGTTGTTCAACTTCAAGCCTTCTAGAGTCACCACAACCATCTCCTTTATCTTCATCTATGATTTCAGTAGCTGCACAACAAGCTGCCTTAGCTGCTGCTCAAGCTATTGCCAGTCCTCGATCTCCATCAGCTAGTTCTAGCACATCTAATTTTCAGGCGGCGGTGTTGTCATTGGCTTTAGCTGCTTCATCCACGTGTACAACAATTAGCAATTCTTCTAGTTCCGAACTTCGTGAATGCCAACGTTCATTACTTGGTCATTCTGCTATGAATGATCTTATCTCCCTTTCTGAACAACATCCAAAATTACTAACTGCACATTCTACTCTAGCATCTGTGTTTAGAAGACGTTCTTCAACACTTGCTCCTCCATGTTTCACTAATGTACTTGATCCAGTGTGTATGGATATTGCACCTAGGCATGAATTAAAAAGTGCTCCCAGTGAGGAACCACAGTTATTGTCTTTTTTGCCTTCAAACGTAACGTCTACTCTTGATCTGGGAAATTCTCAGCTCCTCAATAGTCAGGTTAGTTTACAGTATGGAGAATGACTGACTAGTTACTTGACTACAGCCTAATTGCTTACTTGTTATGTAATATAGACTACTTAGAACTTTAAATGCGTTTGGTTGAAACTCCTTCTTGTGTTGTCATTTTTAGTAGCAAGTAAAGACGGGGCTCGTTGTCTGTTTTACTGAACTCCAAGATGTGACATTTTATGATACCGAATTGCATCTACGAGAGCTCCTTTATCAACTTACTCGTATACCTAAAAATAATCGACCATGGTTCTTACACGAAAAATATTCCTTGATTTCTCTCTATTGGTTTTTCATCTTGTGAAAACACAATTTTCTTGATCTCTATTAGTTCTATTCACGTATATACACACGTATATATACAGCTAGTCAGTTACTTTACCCTTACATATTTTTAACTGTTGAATCTTTCTTCTATTACCCAGCTATCATCATTACTTAAATGCCGATTCTGTATTTGTCTAGCTGATTGAAGTCAAAACAGTAAAATATATATAATGTAGATAACCTTAAGTAAAGGCATTATGTAATGTAATGTACATTATAGGCACGTTCTCTGCTCATATTTTGTTTTGTCCTAGTCGATATTAAAGGTAATGAAGATGAAGTTTTTTTTCACCAGGTTCAAATTTCTCCATTGTTTTTCTTCCCTGTATTGACTGACTCGATTTTTATGGTCTACAAAAAGTCATTCCATATTAATTTACTAGTATTCAGTCCTCATTGTCTCTAAGATGACTAGACTATGAGGATTAGTTAACTTTTATCAAAGCTTTAAACGACTTCGTCAAGAAATCGACACTATCTATCTTGGTGGAGTTTTGTTCTCTGAGCTGGATGGTTTGGTCGACCAAACCATCCAGCTCAGAGAACAAAACTCCACCAAAATCGTCCACCTGAGCTAGAAATCTCCACCATCACACTATCTATCTACCAAACTTGTCCCATTTTAACTACACGAATGACGAGTTGGCGCAGTTATGTAAAGTTTCAACACAGGAAAGGACTTGTAGGCCTAAAACGCTAGAAGAATATCTAAATTAATAAATGTAGTCTCTTCCTTAACGAGTTTATGCCCTTCTATTCGTGGTTAATTTTTAAGGCCCTATAGCATCTCCCATTATTTTATTGTTATATGCTAACTGTGTACACTGTTGTAGGCATAATTTTTATTTATTTAAACACATAAACATTGATACAAGAAGGCACCGAATAGATATGCACCACATAAATCATTCAATTTGTGTGAGGTCTGGGATACTGCCCGGGTGACCAAACTGAAGCAGGTGGTTTTGTTAGGGGGCCACACTCCGAGCCTTCGAACTAAATGTCTAATCCACAAGGCAGTGAAGCAATGTAAGGGGATGCAGTCCCATGGTAGGTGTTGACCAACAATTGGTTCATACGCTATTTGTTTCCTTAGGATCCTTGAGCCCATGTACACCATTAGTCTGTAATCAGGGTTTTCCAACTCCCCTAGGTGGACTCTCCGTGTCTATCAACCCGGTTAAGGTGCCGGACATTTGCTTTTCGTCCTTTCAATTTTGTAAATAACACTCCCGCCACGAGAAGGCATTGAGTAGGACTTCCCTAGCAGTGGTTGTATACACGTGGCCACTTGAGAACATTTTGAGAGGGAGGACCGACTTTCCCCACTCTCGGCCGTACCAGGGCATTTGGGGCCGTATACCTTCGGACTATTTAAACTTGTTTAGTAGATGCCAAAGCAATTTCACACTAACGTCACTCGTTATGCCTACCGTCAAGGTGGACTTAAAGTAACCTATAGATTGCCTTTTTCTACTTACATGCAACTTAGTGTTCCGAATACCTTTACGGTTTCAAATTAAAACTAATCTGTATCGAGTAGTATATTGCACAGTGAGATGTCATCCAGCCTAAGTCAGTGGGTTTATATTCTGAACCTTTAATCGCTGATTGTTTGGTTAGAGAATTGATTTCTGCTTCGTCTACTACTATTTCACCAACCCTCAAGGAAAATGTGTGGCTTTAAAATTTTCATAAAATCCAGCTTCATTGCATTTATCAGAAATTTTATGTGTTTGTGAGTTGATGTCTGACAAATCCAGCACTCTCAGCTTGCATCAGATGTAGTTTAAGTGTGCTATCTGTATGCTGCACCAAGTTCTACTGTGTATTATTTTCTGTCTGTAGAACTTGGTATTTGAAGGTCTAAAAAAATAAGCGTAGGCTATTGCCACGTATTCTTTTTGATAATTGTTTGCATATGTTGAAACCACTGAGTGAGCGATGAAAATGTTAGACTTGGATTACTGTGTAAAGGGAATTAATGATTAATGGGGTTGTCGGCATATTCTTTATGCGTGTTCAAACACCGCTTCTCATTTGGGTGCGCTATACTTGTTGACATTAAGTATTAAGAATAAGTACCAATATGGATGAAGAGTTAAATTAAAGAAATACTTAATATTTAAGTTTTCTTTAACAAATTTCTTTTGACTGTAAATGTACTGTCGTACCGATTCTGTGTCCACATTTCAACTACAAGTATGCGATGTGTGAGAGAAATCACTCGATATTATGAATTCCATCCGCTTACCTACAATTTTTGCCGATCTTTCCACCTATAAATCATAACATCATTTAACATGGTAGCTTCTTATACTTTCCCACTATTTTTTAGCTATTTACCATAATACTAAGATCCAATAAATTGAGTTTTATGGTTCCCCGAGTTTCTACGTTAAATTATGTTATTTTAATATTCCCTATCTCAAAGCTTTCATTAATTCCAGCCCTAATTTTACACTGGTCTTTCCTTGTTTTAGCAATCAACTCTTCCAGATTACCCTGAAGGTTTTTCTTTAACCCGTGAGTCAACATCTATTTCAACTTCTTTTCTGAACGATAATTGTATCGAACAACGTAATCGTTCAGATGAATCTTATTTAATGGATATTAATTCAGAAGGTCCGGCTAAAATTACACGGCATTATTTATCTAATTTAGATCCTGATGAAAATGTAGATAACTCCCGAAACTCTTCCAGTGTACCACATAGAGGTTATGAAGATCCTAATTTCCAACCTTTTTACAAAACATCACCAAAGTATGATTCGCATCTGGTACATCCATTAGGTGTTCACCCATCATTTGATAGAAATTCTAATAAATGTAATACAAGATATTTTTCTCCTACACATACATCAGTTTCAAGTGAACTTGCATTGGCCACATGTCCTCCAACTTCACCACTAAGTTGTTCCTCATTATCTAATTCAGCAACTCCCCAATTGAATATTTCTCCATTAAATGTTGAATGTAGAGTTAAGAATCCACCAATGGATGATTTGAGTGGAGCTAATTCCAGATCATCGGTTTCCTGCAGGTCATTAAGAACTAACTGTGGGACAGAGTGTGATTTTAAAACTGATGAACCAAACCGTAAACGCGAACAACGTCTTTTAAAAAACAGGTATTTATGTATTCATTTTTACAGTATGTTGGTAATGTTATTTCATTTTCAATCAGATTTAAACAAGTTAAATTTTTAATATCATATGGACATTAATTAGTTGTCATAAATCATATTGACTTGTAATACAACATTCATGAGTTTCCCTCTTTGCAGAAGTGTTACTGGCTCATATTGAGATTTCCGCCTCAAAATGTTGATGTACTTTGGTGATGTTATATGATCTCAACGTACGACTCATGAGTATTATTATTACAGTTCCTTAAACTGGAAATTTCTACTACTGAGTGTGTATTTTATGAATTACTTCTTTTTACCACTGCCGTAGCGCTGATTGACTTCGCTTACCTAGTATGGTTTAAATTAATGGTAAGACGAATGTATAATATGTTTTTAACTATTCGACCAAGCAATAGATTAAGCTCAAACTAGTTATAACTGACAGAATTAATAATTTAATCCTTAGATTTGTAACTCTTACGATTCCATTTCCCTAATTGGTTTCTTTCAATATTATTGTTTGGAATTTGTTTCTGGTCGGGTGTTTTTTTACCTACGTCCTAACATTGTTAATAATCAATCTCAGATGATTTGTGAATACAGTTTCATGATCATTTATGAGACAGTGATGTCACCGATGTAAGATCAGAAGCCTTAACCATAATTACTAATCTGTATTTCTTTCGTTAGTCATCTGTACTTTATCTCACTTTGCTGACGTAAAGTTTGGCTACTCAGACCACCTTATTTTTAAGCTGGGATCTGATTTCGACCACTTAACTGGCCACTATTCACTCTGTAAAACGTCGGATCGGTAAGACCAACTCTAACACGGTTGTTGAAGCACACCCTTAACATCGTTAATGTTGGCTCATCTTATATTATTGGTCAATTAGGCTTGGCTCGATACTTGAAAATAGGTTCAAAGCACATTCCTTTATTTGATATTTCTGTTAAAACATCGGTTAGTTTTCTTCCTCGTTTAGGAACTTTAGTTGTAGTTGATATTATGACGATGACTATTTAATTTACGATGGCAACGGTGATGACGTAATGGTTATTTCTAAATAACCTAGTGATTAAATTGAAATAGGGGAACATCATATACTCAATCATTATCCTCATTAGTGTAATGTGATTATCGATGCATTGATAATTTAATCCCACTATGTTTGATAGACTTCTCAATTATCTATACATTAGGAAACAGTCAAAAGAGTTTGCTTTTAATTAGTTTCTGAGTTGTATTACTAAGCTTGTTTATTATAAATGTCGACGGTGTTTTCTCTTTTTTTATTTTAGAGAAGCTGCAAGGGAATGTCGTAGAAAAAAGAAAGAATATGTAAAGTGTCTAGAAGCTCGAGTTAGTCTTTTAGAAAGTCAAAATCAACAGCTAATTGAAGAGCTTCAAAAAGTTAAAGCGCTTTGCTTTAAGGAGTTATGCGGTTTAGGATTAAATAGTTCCACAGCTGCATGCGCCGCAGCTGTTTTAGCTGCCGTGACCTCAGTGTCTGCTAACTACTCAGGTTCAGATGCTGCAGATGCTTCTGGATTAGATTCAACTGCCCGATTTTCTTCAGAATCCGATCGTAATATATGTGAAAGATCCACTGAAGTGCATCATATGGCTTCTGAATTCGGAGAAAATGTACAACAACTTCATGATTGTCCACGCTCAACTCGTCAACGCAGACGTTCTGTGTTCACTGCACCTAAACTATCACCGTATTCAAATCAGGCTACATGGTTAGGCCCGTATTCCTTGAAGTGTTCCGAACCCTCTTCAAATGTGACTTGTGGTACCAATCACGTAAATCGTTCTTCTTTTGATGGATCGCCATCACATTCATGTGTACCACAATTGCATGACACAAAAGGTGACTGCGCAAATAACCCTGTTACCATCTCTTATACGTCTCCGGTTAATCCAGATACAATTAGTCCTCATTCGGGTGAACATTTACAACTTCATTGCACTGAATCGCACTCACTTTTAGTAGAAAGTAAAGTGAACAGCAATCGATTACCACAGGATTCAACACATGAAATGTCTAGTGAGTTACAAAGTTGGAAATCACCGCAGTACCATAACTGTGGTAATCCCTACCAACATCCTCGGTACGCGGCAAAAAGAGCTTATCGCAATGTGATATTTAATTCTTCCAATACAAGTAGCGAGTCTGAAAAAAAACCAGATCCCGTTGATGATAAACGTCTTTGTGAACCAGGAGCTAACGTCGATGCTGTGACTGGTGCTGCAGTGATTTTAGCTGCTGCAGCTGCTATGGTCGCAGAATCTGAATCTTCTGCACCGGAATCTAGACTGTCCGTCTAAACATCCATATATATATATATATATATATATATATATATATATATATATATATATAATATTTAGCAGATCATATTACTTATGAACATCTACCTGCGTCTTTCTCAACGATTAGGTTCCAATAAGTAAATTTTTAAGTGATTATCTTTTGAAATATTCTAGGAGCAGCAAATAATAGTTTCTTGAACTGTTAATTTCTGAAGCCATTGAAACTACTGAATTTATGCTTTTTCTGCATTCACTGTCTTCCTTTAATTTGCCTTTCTTACTTTATATGGTCTGCTTTTCCTACTGTGCAAGCTTTCCAAATTGTGAAAAATCATTCCCCCGGCTGATTGATTCTTGTTAACTTTTTGCGAGACATAAACTTATTTATTCTCTGGAATGTAACATCATCGTTGTTGAAAAATTCATTTGTGCCGTTCGCTTTATCTTCTTTCATCATAAAAAAGACTACATCACAAATCCAGATTCTGTAATCATGTATATTTTGCAAACTCTATTCACCGTCACCCCCTCTATTTCTATTATAAACAGTCACATTGAAAGATATAGAGTTATTTCTTACTTGTTTCGTTATTATATTCTCAAGCGCCTGTGCATCATTTCTTTTGTCATCCTTTTTCATATGTTTGTTTACTTCAGGTGTAGCATCTTGATGTCTTTCGTATCATTTGTTATTTTTTCTTAATTCATTTCTTGCTTCAAGACGTTTTGTTTGGTTGATAATTTGCTGGCTATGATTGTAGTGTAGTCTATGCACCACATTTCCTTGCCTCGTCATCTTCCTGTCCTAGCGCCCACGGAGTGTTTACGTGTCTGTGTACGTGTACATATAGCTGTAGTTAGACAGTTTTTATTATCCGGTTTTTTTTAATTCAATTCTGCTTTCATTTTTATCAAAAGCGCCATTTTCGTCACTACTAAACATTCTTTCTTTCACATACATTGCTTTTGTGAGTACATATTTTATTATGATTTTCATATATAGGCTAGTTAAAAATTGACGTTAGCATAATATTTGAAGTTTGACAAATCTCGTATTTATTAATTTCACTTCCTAGATTTTTCTGATTCCTATTGAATCCATCAAACCCGAAATTTGGTTTATTATATGGGGAAATAGTTCACCAAGTTTATTATGTAACTCCAATAATCCTTGCATGCTAATTTCTAAAGGGTCGTTCAAGTTTATAATGTACGTTTTAAGGGAATGTGATCAGCTACCATTTCGAGAGCTGTTTATTATTATTGCTATTATAGTCAATTATTACTAGATATTCACGAAGTCAATCCCATGACTGTAACGACCAGTCATGCAGTTGAGAAAACTGAAGTGATGCTATTAATAATTACCATTTATCCTTGAGTAACTGCCACATCCCTTCCGTACATTGCGATGAGTTCAGTTTAGTGAATTTCAATTTAACACTAACATTTGCTTACCATGCCCTAATGCGAATGCGTCGTTCGGTAACAATTCACTAAAAGTCCTCAAGATTTATCTGTGAGTGATTGGAGAAGTATAAATAGTTTCGTACAGAACATTTGCACCAGATTCATCCATACTTGAGTTCAAACTTCATCATACTAGATTAATGATCACATAATATGCTTATCTTTTAAGCTCTAATCAATTCCGATATCCAAGCATAACGACGTATTTATTAGGTCTAGTCTGATATTATATATATATATATATATATATATATATATATATATAAAGGATGTTGGAACGCAGCTGAAGTTTCTGGTAAAGTTTACACATCCACTCTTTGAATCTACGAATAAGAAACTAATATGCAGAATGTTTCTTTATCCAAAAAAGAACGAAATATCGCCAGGTTTTATAATGGTGTAACCATTATACAGAGAAAAATCTCAGAACCTTATATTTTGGTGCAACGAAAACATAATCACTGTAGATAAAAATGTATATATCCTGTTTTTGTTTTGTTCTTTACAATGTGAGAAATGTTTTGGATAAACATTCTTTTTTATTATTTTGCTAAAAAATAACAGTTGGAAGGCATATTTTTCGATATGTAATGTTTTCCTCAAAATTGCGTAGGCAACCAGCCTTTTTCATTATATATATTTATGGTTAGTGAGATATATGTTTGTTTTTGACTTGACCAACTTCTTACCATCTAATAAAAATATTTTTCGTAACGAATTATTCTAAGTGATAATATTGCACAAATTTCTGTCTGTATAGACAAGCGGTTCTTGTTCATTCGCGTTTTCTAAATATTTCCGTAACAATATAAATAAACCTTATTTATCATCCAAAATTGTTTCCAGTATAATTCTACAATCATACCTGTAAAAGATTTACTTAAATTCCTATTAAGCATCACATCTTTCTGGTTATCTGATTCTAAATTAAAATTATACGGTCTAAACTTAGATGTTACGCAGCTTCGTACTTACAAATTGCCAAAAACCGTACTAACTTTACTCATAGTAAACCAGTGCCTACTGACTATGCATAGGCAATGAAGTACACATGCAATGAATGTTAGTTGCACAGTATTATGAATTGACTGAAGCTAGGAGAGTGAACCAATGGTATGTCAACTTAGTTTTCTGTAGGCTAAGGACTCGTGGCAAAAGCTGATGGTCATGTATTCAATCTTCCAAGAGATCGTGAATCCGCATTGATAAGAACTCATATTGGAACGAAATATCTGTTCTTTACTTCCTTGTGTCCTATGTTTGTCTGATTAGACTCAATCTGTGATGTAAAACTTCATAAAATACTAGGGGGAAGATATTTTACATTTGGAAATATTAGTAGCTGTAAATGTAGTTTGACTGAATTCACCATTGATCTTCCAGGGATTACTTCTGACGTAATCATCAGTGAGGAATTTATGCAGAAATTCCAATAACGATCTTGTCATATTTTTTTCTCAATAGGAGCTAATAACGATAACTAAATAGTTAGCCCCCAAATGCTCTGGTATGGCCGAGAGTGGGGTGGGCCCTCCCTCTCGAAATGCTCTCGCACGGCCACGCGTATACAGCCTCTGCCAGGAAAAACCTACTCACTGCCTTCTCGTGGCGGGGATATTGTTTACGAAAATGAGAGGACGAAAAGCGAATGTCCGGCGCTTTAACCGGGTCCCAAACCAATGGTGCACATGGGCTCCAGTATCCTGCGGGAACATATGGCGTATGAACCAATCGTTGGTCACCGGCTACCATGGGTATGCATCTCCTCACGATGCTCCACTGCCTTATGGATCAGACCTTTAGGTCAAAGGCTCGGGGAGTGGCCCCCTAAGATAACCACCTGCTTCGGTTTGGGCACCCGGGCAGTATCATACCCCACACACACATATGGTGTGGCGCATATATATTTGGTGCCCTCTTGTACCAATATTTATGTGTTGAAATAAATAAATATCCTCACATTCTACTTTAAGAGTAACTGTAACTGAAATCGTTTATCAAGTGAAGATAACTTCCAAATAGCTATAGATTTTTAAAATTAATATTTTTTATGCGAGTAAATAAAACGTCTGGTTAATAGTGATATTCAATCGCCTTTTTAATTCTGTCATCTTTATCTTTTCATATTTAAAAAAAGATGTACAATAATAGCGTCGGCATCCATAAGCTTGTTAGTCAGTGGAAAATTTTAATATAATAACAGTGTGCCGAACGTAAATTTTATTCAAAAAGAATTTTCACAAAAAAAAGTTGTTTAAATATTTCGTGCTCAAAATTTATTGAACGCTGAAGTGTTACAAATAATAAATATAAGATGAAGCGATCAAAATACTCATAAAACTTTGTAATAGTATTTTCTCACTCGACGTTCTTAACAGTTCATTTGATTTTTTTCCAAAACCTGTTGAGTAATTATTTCCCTGATATATATGATATTTCCATGGTGATTTAGCCAAGATCAGTTTGTGATTTAAAATGAAAATTCTGTAACATCCGCTAATCCTCTATACTAATAATATATGATACTTATTCTTTTCAATCCATTTGGTGCTCCCCACTGTCTACTGTAAAGCAGTTGGTTAGTGAATACTAATTATGAATATCTTATCTATTCACTTTAATATTTGGCGGTAACTTATTTATGGCACACTATTATGCATTATTTTCTACTTGTTTGATATTCACACATTATTTATTTATTAACCGAACTGCACCTATATTGACTGGTATCTTAGTAGTTAAAGCACTCAACTTCCAAGCAGTGGGTCGTGTGTTTAAATCTATCTCCATCTATCTTGATTTTGGTACCTGGGCAGTATCACTCGTCTTCACATAAGAGGATATGACCCAAAACCGATCATATAAATTCGAACTTGAGGTATGAGTTACATTATAGTAATCTGTGTTCAATGGTGGTCTAACATCGATCTATTCGTGATCCCAGTCAAAAAATCCGTGTTCTATTAAATCCTATAGATTTACTTGTGTGAAATCAACTGTTTCCTAACTTTTAAAAATGCTTGTTTAACCGAAAATTGTAATGTATTCAATGTTCTCATATCACACAACAAAAATAATGTGTGAGCCTTCAGTGTAGTAAATTATTGGATAACTCAAGATGACACTCATAATCTTAACAACAAATATTTTGCAACTTTAAATACTCTATTACCTTCTAGAGATATAGTCTCTTAGTGATTTTATTATCTAATATCTATATTAAGTGTAAAGCAAAAAAGGACTCCATTAATAGCTTCATCAAGATACTCTAGTGTAGCCTTATTTTACAAGCAAATTTCAAGAATGAATGGCATCTTGCATCACATGAAAACTGAAGAAACACCTTGGCATATATATATGACAACTTACTAAGACTAAATACATTTGCTTTCACGAGAAACACAACTAGAATTCACGAATGTCACTTTTTTTTTTATCCTATATTTCCTTTTTCTATGGCATTGTTTACCAAAGGTTTATAATGAGAAACAACTTTTAAATTTTCACTGCAGTTGTCAAATTCTATTTTCCATATTTCACTGACATTCCTTTTACCTGTCATTTTAAGTACAGTGAAATTAAGTGGAAACTGGGATTAAAATGCTTAAGTTAATATCGACCAACAACATTGATAATAAGTTTATGTAAACTATTTATCAGTTATTATTCGTGGTCTTGTCTTCGTGTTACAATTTAAGTGTGAAGGCTAATAGTAATATTACTCGGTTACTCAAACCATAGTCGAATGTCTTGAGCAATGAGCCACCGCTTGGCAATCGGTCGATGTTAGAATTGATTTCATTTACTGCTGGTGCTTATCGTCATTGAAAGTACATAAGTCTGTCACGTGGGTAATTATAAAATCATCCAATACAAGTATAAATACATGTTTAAGACATTGTTTAACTAATAATTGACTATAATAGTAAATGAATTCGTGAAATTTTTATGAATTAATTTAAAATTCTTAAATTAGTAAAGTTATTCTTCTTTTGAACTTGATGTGACGGGATAAGATGAAATTATTTAGGTTAGTATTTTTTGTCAATTCTTTATACATTTTGGCCAGGGTCACAGTTATGAACGTCATTCACTGTGACAATTATATCCGCTCTATCGATTCAGGTGAACTACATTCGATGTTTATTTCTACAGTCCTATATATAGCTCTTGTAATGTGTGAAAATTTGTATGCAAGTGATTGCATTTTGGTGTAATAACAACATGATTTGGGGATTTGTTTTTGCAGTAAATAAATTTTCAATGCACCAGTCTTTTGTGTTCTTACTTTGCGTCGTGGGAATTGCAGTGATTCCTGTCTTAAAGTATATGCAGTAGAATCGAGGAATTGTAGTGGTTTCCGTTTTTACTGTACAAGCAGTAAGGCTGCGAACTTCATAGAGTCTAAATGTATATAACAGCGACGACACGGTAAACATAATAGGAGGGTCCTCCGGAGATATAACAGTGGCGGCGAATTAGAGTTAACAGGACTAGTCATGACAAAAGAATATATTTATGTCTTCATTTCTGCAATGTTACGTAAATAATTCGACTCTGCATTTGATTTTTTACATGACTTTACGTTCAACCTAATCAATCTCACAAGGTAACATTATAATTTCAGTGATCTGAGAAAACTGTACTATTGCAAGTTCATAATCAAGTTTACTCTTACACTAGCAATGATATTTTTGAGAAAAAACGGTCGACAAACTACTTACAATACTGAAAAAGACAATCACTGAATGAAAGTCCTGACCATATGATTCTTTCTTCTAGAAGAGATTACTTTCACTTGCTCAACAGTTGGAGTATTTTAATTAATATAGTCAATTTCGGCAGAAAACTAAGGTCATCTGACATAACTATTTGCTATCTACGAAATTATTACTTGATATACTTGTTTTGTGGTGTAATGGACCCAGTAAAAGAACTTATTCAAGACGTATCAATACACAAAATTAATAATAATATACTTAGAAATATAATACTATAAACCGAAATGACTGTCTATGAATAAAAATAGGTAACGAATAGCACTCACAACAATATGTTACATTAAATGAAAAAGGGATAACTCAATGAATAGTAGTTAAAAGCTCTTTCTGGGATAACCACCACAAGTGTAGTTAACTCGGTTAACAAATGTCCTGCATGGTTGGTACCGACGGCGTGAAGTGGAATATAAACTCGAAAGCTTTGTCAAATCATAATCCAGCTCAAGAGTCCCACTTAGTGTAGAGAAAACTAAAATGCTGTTATGACACTTATAATCTTCAAACACAGGCCGTGGCCAATAAAACAGAAAAATGATCGACGTAGACAGAATTTATTTGAGTACCGAAGGTAGCATATATATTCATCACCTAATTAATTAATGTCCGGTCCACGACTGACCACCTGCAGGACTGAGATGTATTTAAAATTGATCGATCATCACCCAGTGAAGCTGGGTGACGTGGGATCGAATCCGTCAGAGAGCATCAGTTCCCTCAAGATTACGAGCACACCTTTCTGACGAGTGCCAAATAGTACGAAACCTAGGTCTAGTGTTTCCTGTTGACTACCTCCAACCACCATCTTATCTCAAAATAGCTCACGCAATATCGAATCACCTAAACTAGTGGCCACATTGCAACTTGGTTGATAAGGGTTCGATCTGCACTAAGAAGAACCTAACACATATGACATTGATCACCACCCAGTGATCAGTCAATTGTAAATACATGTCACTATAATGGAATGATAATTTTCTATAAGTAATTTTGTTCTGTTACAAATTAAAATTTCAAAAGGAACTAGGAGCCTTCATTATTGAGCTTAGATAATAAGTAAATTAAAGTGTGATATTTTTGCAAAGTTATTGTACTTCAAATAGCTTATCTTAAAAGTAATGATAGTTCATCCAAATCACCAAAAAAACCAACCAACTTCAACGTATGAATAAATATTTTCTCATTTGTGAATTAAATTAGTTTTGTTGGTAAGTAATAATCAAAGAAATAGTTTTAATCGTTCAAAAACCATTATATTGTATAAATCCAAGCTTCTAACTTTATTTTTATTACTTAATAAAGACTTTATTACTGAAATATTCCATGTATATTTTCAAAATTTATTCTTTCAGTTATGGTAAGATCCCTGCACACTGATAAATAAAATAAGCGATATCGAACCTAGGAGCTTCAGGCCTTATTGCGAAGTTTGTGAGTTTTAGAAATAAGGTAAATGCTACCTATTGAACTGAGCAGTAGTCATGGTATTTCACAAACTGGCTAAACTTGGAAACGGAAACCAACGTGGTATAATCTAAAGGGTTATCTTACTAAGTAATTTAAAGATTTTGTAGATGAAGTCAGTTGGTGATAAAAATTATTTTCACCAGAAAAACAAATATACTTCGATCTCTTTCAAATCAAAACTAATTTGTTATATCCAAGTATTAAATAAATTTTCAGAGAAACTTAGCATTATTTCATTTAGAAGTGTATACAATCTCACAAAAAATATGTTTCTATAGATATACATGAACTTTTCCAACGTACGGGAAAAGCTTACTTTTTTCCCATTTAAAGAAAGTAATATATATTTCCAGTTGTAACATTTAATTATAATGTTGAATAACGCATTTTGTAAAA